ACAGGGGCTCTTGAGTACGTTTTTTTTTCCCTGATTCGAGAGTATAGTTGTTGCAGATAATACATTTGTGCTATAGCTACTTGTGAGGGCATGCTGGTAATTCATCCCCAGCGTGCTCAGGACTCTCATTAATGAAGCAGATATCAGAGCTCATAGTATTGATTATTAAATAAAGAGAAAATCAACCACAGCCAACTAATTATCATCTTTTATCAGTTCACTGGGGTCTTGTCATATGTAACTATAAATATGTAAAATATAGATTTTGTTATACAGCTTACTATTTGTATTCCACTTCGGACCCTTTGTATAGCTGCACCAAGGAGGTCATGTTTTTGTTTGTCGTGTAGCAGGATTATGCAAAAATACTGGAGGAACTATCATGAAAGTTACTGGAAGGATTCAGTTTGTGTTGAAGGAGAAAACTATTTTAGTGGATGTGAATAAAAGTACAGTTTAAATGGAATATTGTTGCACTTTTCCTGCAGCGTTTACCACTTGATTCATTTAATATATGGCAGAAGCAAGATGAAAGTGCATGCACATGAACGTTGCTGTCACGCTCAACAGCCTTTTAGTGGCAGGTACCCAGACTGAGGAGTGAATGTTTGCATGCCATTTGCAGATACATCTGCAGCTCAAACTATGAAGTCTCATTGCCTGCATGGTCACTAATAACTTTATGGACGTTAGCAGGAGTGAGCACTCAGCAAATAGTTTGAGACGTCTTATATAATTCTGAGAAGTTTAAAAATATCTTTATTGGTTTATTGTGAAGCATTGGCAGGACAATTTAAAATAGTCTGGCCGCTACAGCCTAGATAATAAATGGGAAACACGTCTTCCAAATTGCAAGATAATGTAAATCTTGTGGTCTCAGACAGTTTTTACTGTTTTTGGAACAAAAACTGAAAACTCAAAAAAGGACAAAAAATATTGACACATTTTTATGTTCAGGTTCTGGGGCGAGAGACTTAAAAAACTGGGTAAAGTCAAGGAAAATTGTTAGTCATTCACTTTTGAATTCTTGGTAAAGTAGCCATAGAAGAGAAAGACATAAACTTAATTACCTTAATTTATTATGAATGAGAATGAAATAACCTAATTTCTCCTTTAATGTAAGATATGGACTGTCAGAAGTGCCAAATATCATAAGTTGACTAATATGTGATCAGTTAATTAGGAGACTTTCAACAAACCTTTTGAACAATGAACCTTTTGACAAACTTGCAAAAGTGGATTTGGATACTAAAAGCACTTTCTCCATGTTAAAATGGAGCCCTTAGTCTCATGACCCTTTCTTCAAATGATATACATTTCTAGCACCCCTCATAAGCATTTCCAAAGCCTCTGTAGGGATGTAGTGTCGGACAAAATGAAAGTTATGACTGTATCAGACACACTACTCAAACCACAGGGACACTGGATTTGTCAAGAGTGACTTTGTGAAGGCAATGCATATCAGTACAGCTTTGAAGTAGGATGCTGATAACGGCATGTTAAAGTGTCGACATGTTAATGTGAGAACAGTTTCAAGTGAGGAAAGATAAAAAGCTGCTGAACTGATCCAAACCATTGACCAAACACTGATTTGAAAAATAACCCTCTACGGGTGCTTTAACCTTCCAGGGAACAGTGCGGTTTGTGAAATGAGCATGAAATCGTAAGTGCAGATTATGTGTTGTGGTTTTAATGTGAAAATGAAATTTCTTGCCCGTGAAAGCATTGTGTGACAATAAGTTGAACTTGGCACACACTTTCTTTTTAACCATTTGTCAAAAGGATGAATTGCAGGTAACACAGAGATAAGTCAGACATAATGTTGCCAGATTTATGCAAGTCAATTATTTTGGTTTAAAATGTAAATGAATTACATTTTCAGGTTATCCTTGTTGAACTTGTTGAAATTCAAAATTAATATCACGCTATTTAATGCAACACGTGATGAGGTGTCATCGGATACAATTATGTGTATTTTTATGTATGTGTACAAGGATGCAATAGATGAAGGATGAACAGAACTGCTCCATCTGCTCTGGTCTGATTCCATTGCACAGGATGTGGTGGTTGACCATGGTCCCGCCTCCCCTCCTCCCATGACCTCTAACCCTCACCATTGAGCTGCATCCTGTCGGAGGTGGCTTCTTTCATATGTCAGCAGATCGAGGGAGGTTTCCATTTCCATTGAGAGAGTAATGATTTGACAGAAATGCATCTCCTCCAGGGGAATCGAACGGTGGCCCACTTTACGCACTGACTGTAATCAGCTTGGATTCACAATGGTCACAAGGAATTGCAATAGCCTCTGTGACCCCACTGCGTTGCTGATGTTCTGCTGGAAGCTTCAGGATGTGAAGAGCAATTGAAATCCTACTCCTATGTTAGAACTCCTATGTCCACTTAAGTGCAGGACAAGGGGACATTTCAAGATGAGGGGAGGGACTATCTGCAAATGATTCAGAATGATACGTAATACCTGCTAATATTATAAACAATTATTTGATGGACATGTGTGTGTCAGTTACCAGAACTAAACTTGTTCATATTAAGATATATATTAACAAGAATTAATTAAGAAGAAACCTGGACAATAATGAAAAAATTCAACACACACACACACACACANNNACACACACACACACACACACACACACACACACACACACACACACACAATGTCCCAGGAAACAAGTTTTTATAGATTTTTGAAAAATATAATACAACAGAATTACTGGAATTTCTCTGGAAAATTGAAAACGTGTCTATTAATGCAAACTGCAGACTGGGAACAGGATCAATTAATAGTGTAATAAAGTGAAAGCACGTTTAATTTACCAACTCACAAAAGGGGCTTCAGGCTTAAGTAGCTAATTAATGAGTAAGAAATTAATTGTACAATAAATCTGTCTATATCCATTAACCCAGTCCTCACTCCAACAACTTTCTTTAGGTGCCCACATCCCTATATAATCCCGATCGTGTTTACGTCATTATGGGTTTTCATAACATCTCATCAGGCTACGTTTCTACTCTACCAGTTAATACTAAGCTAAAACTAACTTCAGATGCATAGATGCTATAAAAAATAAATAACAGCTTTTGTGATGTGCTATGGCTTTTATTTTAATCAGCCCGCAGAGCAGGAAGGTAGGGTCCTATACTGAGGCCATACTCAAATGTAAAATCACATCCATCCTGTGACAGGCCGATCCACCTCCACTGTAGCATGAACAGCGGGTATCCATCCATCATGGTAAAAGAAAGGTGTACAAAAGTGTGTGGTAAAACTGTGTGTATGCTGAGATAACATTAAAACTGCACTAAAGGTCCTTCAGTTGAAAAATGACCCATTTCCAAATGTACCACAATCTTGTAACGCTGCTCGACAGACTGAATGCAATCATGTTATTACCTGGACGATTTGTCAGTATAGCTCATTGAGTCGAGTTAATGACTTGTGATGTACAGTGGAGGTCCCTTAGCTCCTCCTCCTGCCCACACTGAATATACGTTACACTGTCCACCTCTAATTTGTCTTTGACTTCACCTCCGCTTGTCTATCTCTCTTTATTTCATTTCAATATTAGATAGCCCATTCATCCATTCCTGGTACATTTTCCACAGCTACATTTTATCCATAGCCGTATACTTCTGACCATGTGGGAGAAAACGTTGATGGCAGTCATTCCTGGGTGCAATATTTGACAATAGGCTTGTGTGTGCAGCTTATGCAGGTCATGATGTTGATCTCTGGCTGCTGTAATGGCTCTGGGCCATTAACCCTCCCTGTCATTTGCAATGAAATGTGCTTCTGAACAAGGAAAATGGTCCTGCCCACATAACTTATACAGCAGACTCACCACTTCTGCCACCAGCCTGTGGCTCAGTGCCACGCCATTTTCCCCCGTCCAGTCTATCATCGTTGCTGCAGTTAGGTCGTACATCAGAAGCTCCTGCAGCCTTTTGATGTCCATTCAATTTTCACATCTATTCATTGCAGTAACAATACCCACTCTTTCATTATAATTAATTTAAATATCATTCTTCCTACCATCTCCTGTCCTTAATTAATTTATTTTTGATGCTTCAGTGCACTAATGTCTTTACGTTCATTCTTTGAATATTCATTTGTCAGCTTGGCTTGATTTATTTAAGAAGCATATTTAGACATGTAGCATTTACAGCAATACTCACCATTAAGACGAAGCCAAATACAATGTCGCTATCTATGTTCCAATTTCTTCTGCACATTACATTTAAAGGCAGGGGTGCCATTTGAACAACATGCTGTCAACCACCAAAAGCATTAACAGTTGTTTACTTTTGTGAACGATATAATAATAATACAACCTGTGAATGTAAAAATCCTGGTTGTTTTCAGCATAAATAACAAAGTTGGATTCAAGCTACATAAGATAAATATTTTAGCCACGTAAGGGCACCACAACAAACTGAAAATACAAAACTTGGGTTGATGTGCGTGAGGCCTAAACACAAAACAATGACGTACTAAGATCAGAATGCTGAGGTTGAGAGGTTGAAGAGAAATTCTGGGAAATGTTGATCTATTGTTATGAAATTGATTGATGTTTCCACAGCTATGACAAAGGAATAAAGGGAAAATTATGAAAAAACAAATGACACCAAAAAACATGCAGTTGATATAAAGAGGCGTTATTAATATGCGATTTCCCAAGAGGTGTTATCAATGGTCACAGATAAAACCTCCTGAAATGTTATAGACATTTAGCGAACCAGTGCAACAAGTGACGTAAAATAAAAACAAATGGTGTGACTGAAGATGTTTTAGTCTTTTATAGAACATTTATCATCTGCTTTGTTTGATACTGTCTCCACATCAACGGCCGCCATTTTTGGTTGTTAACGAAAATGCCCAAATCTGCATTTTTTTGTTCCCCACATGCTGCCACTGTGTGGTCAGCTCTCTGTCTGCTCCACTGGACTGTGAAGTCTGTGCTGATATCATGTTTTCTTCACAGCCACACAGGTCAGCCCCGCAGAACTGCAAGATGTGTTTCAGGAGACCTCCTCCAATATCTTCCAGATAAAAGCCAACGGTAAAATACCTTTCCGCAGTTAGCTGAGTGTGTATGTGCTGCATGCTGCCTTGACATTTGTCCTTGTCTGCTTCTATGTTCTTCCATTACTTTGAGACCTTGGACTAATTTTGGCCACTCCTCCTTTCTTTAAATGAACAATGACATTAGTATCTAGATTGAGGAATGAAAACACGTTAGGGTTTTTTGTATTTTAGAATCAGGGTTGACTCAACAGTAAATAAACTTTTTTTTTTGTAGAATTGAAATATAGTTTTGGGGGTATACATTCACTGGTACTAGTTTATATTTTAGTTTATGGCTATGACTGAAGTCACCACGCTGGTGGTAAATTAAAGTATAATACATTTATATAAGGTTTAAATCTATTATTTATTTGACTTTGGAGGTCAGATTATCGTTTCTTAAAGGTTTAAGCAAAATTATGTATTAAACTTAATTGAATTTTAACCTGTATACAAAATTGGCTCTGTATTTGTTGAGAATTAAATCTTTTAATTGGTTTGTAGTTGTGTGGGAGGTAATTTAAAATGGAGGCTTAACTAAATTCAAGGATTTAGGATTCGTTTATGGTTCAGTTTATTGTTCACAGTAGGTTTACAAACAATCTACACTTCATTATAACTTTATGTTTTGGATTTAGGATAAATATATGGAATTTAATTGATTGTTAATAGAGGGGTTAGTTGTTAACTGTTTTTAGAGATTTTATAAGTACATGGTCCTTATTGTGATTTGATTGGTTTATAATCACAGTGATAATTTAGAATTCAGAACATTGTATAAGTATATATAAAAATGGATATATTTAAATTTGACCAGAAGTTAAACTCCAATTCTATTTTCATTCCCCCAGTTACTTTAGGATTTAAGTCTATGTTTAAGATTTTAATAGTCAGCTTTAAATGATGGATTTTGTCCTTGTTTTTACATTAATTAAATTCTAAATTGACACTAAGTTTAAATTAGGGTCAGGGTAATTTTGAGTATTTAGGCTTATGCTTTAGATTTGTAATACAATCAGTAATAGGTTTACATTTGGTATATGGGTTAAGTAGTATTAAATTAGTTATAGGATATTTGGCTGAGGTTAGGATTCTTAATGAATTCTTTGATTAAACCTGATTTCTCTACATGTTGTCATTTCTTTTACTCTCTAGTCATCGCCCTCACAAAGTTACATGCAATGAGGAGTAAACACTGTGTTCAATTCTCTTTAGACCAGGGTTAAATAAGTTTACAATCAAATTTAGATTTGACATCATGAGTGTATGTGTGAATTCAGTACTTGCTCTTCATGTTTCTGTTTGATTGTTCCCTCAGTTGTCACATTAGAGAAGAATCTTCAAGCCCTGGGAACATCGAGAGATACAGCAGAGCTACGACAGAGCCTGTGAGGAACACACACCCACACACACACACACACACAAACAGACACACACTTGGTTGTCCAGCTCAGTGCAAGGGTTATACTTATCTCTGCTTGCCAGAAAAGTGCTTATTTTCTCTTTGTTTCATGGACCCTCTTTCATATTGATTATTCTTTTTTAGTTGAGCTGCCAGCAATTACCAGATTCAACGCTGATGACAAAGTGGCCAATCTAAGATGATTGCATCTGTTTAAAATGCATTACATCCCACTGTGTTGGCTGGCATGTCATCAATTGTATCGAACGTTTTTTATGATCGCCTCGGAAACTTACTGACAATGCTTGGCTGCTTTTATTTTTAACTTCCCATTTTCCTCCAGCAATATTAATGCTGGGTGCAAACAACACATCCAGTGCCTCCGACTGATGCAAATTACCTCCAGTGTGATGCTTTGTGTTGTTCAGCAGCTCTTAGTGTTTTGAAAGATTGCTCACAAAAACAGTCAGGAGGCTTCCTGGTTCTTCAAGAATTTAATGGTGACTTTCAAAGGTCATTAACCAAAAGCTTTTGTTTTTGTAGTTTTAACAGATTTCTCTTGTCGCCAGTGACTTAAACAGAAACTAAATCTCATGACACATCGTATCACATTCCATATGCATATTCAAAAAGGGCCTTTCAGCCCCAACCAGGGTCAGAAACCTAACTTTAAAACATGTTGGCAATAAAATGGTCTCTTGTAACTTAACAGCATTGACAAGTCAAGCTTTGTGGATGAGGCTCTATTGACTGACCTGCATTTTTTTTGTAAATGTGTCTTGATTTGGCTCAATCAAGTTTGTACCTGAACAGCAAACACAGAAGTGGTCAGTTTGTGTAAATGATGACTGCACTGTAAATGGGCAACTTCAGCTATATGACACTAAAGCTGTTTTCGAACATGTCTGAAGAATTGGGTCCGGACGTTATCCTGAGTTTTCCTTTGACATATGATGCAGCAGGAGATCCTCCAGTTAGATGAATTCACATAACAAAGCAAAGTGTTCAGGTGATGGGTGGTGCAGCAGACAGAGGCACTGGAATTTTGGACTTTCTTCGTCTGGCACTCTGGCACAAAGTCTGCAGAAACTCTGGAGTGGTTCATGTGAAAACACAGCATGCATGGCGGTCGATGACGTTTCTAATAAGCAAAAATTAAAAAAGGGGGGAACCGCCCACTGCGTTGTGCATGTTTGAGAAACACATTGCAGGGAAAACGCAGACTCAATTGTATGAATTGGTTTGGAACCAATAACCTCAAGCAAACTCTTTCAATACCTGCAGGTCATTTCATCTTAATAGTCAAAGGGGAATTCTGGGCCATTCTTCCCACGGAGCTGCTTCAGCTCAGCTGTATTCTTATGATATCTGGTCTGATGGCTTTGAGCTTATTCCACATGGCGACTCTATTTAGATGAGGTCTGGGCTGTGATTGGGCCACTCCTTAAGGTGGACTTCTTTAGCTTTAATGGATTCTGTAGTAGATTAACTTTAGGCCGACTGGCACACAGCCTTCCTGGTATTATCCTGTATTTTACCTCAATGAACTTGGGAATTAATTTCCCCCTCTATGATGGTAGCTGTCCAGGCCCAGAGGCAGCAAAGCTCTCACTCCACCATAACTCTCCATTTGGATTATTTTGTTATGTTGGTATTCAGTGCCCGTTTGACATGAGAGTGCTCAGGGTTCCTGCTAAAGAATTCAACTTTGAGTTGATTAGTCCATATAACATTTTCCCAGTAGCATTGTGGTGTAAAATATAGAGGCCTGATCTCAATGAAAATGGGCATATGCTGAACTGATCTAACAAACATCAGAATGTCACACACGTCTTTCTTTGCAAACAGCAGCATCCTTGAGTTTTGTGTAATAAAAGCAGTCTTGCAGCAAGTCTTGTTTATGCCCGTGGTTAGAATGGTAACTCTCCATGTGAATGCCTGTCGTCAGGCAAAAATCTCATGGTTAATAGAATTTGACCCAACCCTGTAATTGTGGAAATGCACACGGTAAAAAAGTCTAAGTGGATTAATGGACAGCACCCTCAAAGTGTCATTGTCTTTGTTAGAGCATTAGACATTCACTGGTGTTGTGGCTGCAACATGCCAGAGGACACTGGGTTGTATTTGGAGGAGAGCAGCAGTGACACAGTCTCTCTGCAGACACATTGCGCTACAGCACATCATAATTCCACATAAACTCTACAGCAGAAATAACTTGGTTTAATAATTTAACAGGCAAGGTTAAACAAGAGATGTGGAAACAAACATGCTGGATGAAAAACAATTTTTATTTTATTTTCACTGCTAGTGATGGAGAGTGATTAAGACAAACAAAAACACTGGGTGTCGTTTGAAATACTTTCACTAAATTATATATATATATATATACTTCTATGTAATCTATATGTATTACCCCACTTCATTAACTGATTACTGAATTGTACATTATTATTTTAATGTATACTGCATAGACAGTGTGGTATTGATTCTGTGTTATTATTTGAAACAGGAGAATAAATCAGGTTTTGTGATTAGATAATTCCAACCTGTCAAGGTCAACTGCTTCTATCAATCCTGTGAATGTGAGATAATTATATTTGCTATTATTTTAAGATACAAGAAACATAAAAGCAGATATGATCTTGCTGTCATGATGTGGTTAAAATGTAAATATCTAAGTACTGTAGTTGCAGTGGTGGAGGTTATTCTTGTTGTAGGTTGTAAAGTTCCTAATCACTAAGACCATAGATGGATGGAAAAAAAAAAAAAAAACATTGTTATAGTTAGAGATGTATCATAATGTTGGCAAAAGACACATCAGTCTTTGATGAGCTCCACAAAGTCTGAAAATGCATTATTATTATTATTCCCTCTAGTTGTAAAACTGTTGTATGCAAAATGACAATAGGAAATTAATTAATACTCCCTTTGCTGGCATTTTGTGGCTAAATAAGCCATGATGGTTCCAAGTATTCACTAATGTTATACTGACAGAGGGAAAGAATCATTCCAATAAATAAGGGACCTAAAAATAACCATATAAACAAGCTTAATATTAACACTCACATAAAGCCGAACTGTTGTTCATTCATTTAAGTGGGAAAATACACATAAACCAGTGTTAACATAACTTAAATGAGTTAAAACCAGCTGATCATAAACCAACGGGTGATGTCATGGTTGGTAGTCACTTGATTTTAACCAATATAATTAAAGTCTATAATTCAAAATACACAGGTTTTGTCTTTGTGGTCTATATTGATTTTACAATTCTTCTCAATGGTCTTATTAAAAACACAGCAATGGTGTAACTCGCTCAGTCAGTCAGTCAGACAGATAGACAGTCAGGATTATATGTCTGGCCTCCAGCCAAGCAGAGTCGTAAGCACCGGCTCCTTCCAGGAGTGGTAATACATTTCCATTCTAGCCGTCTAGTTTATTTAATTCAAAATGAAACAATGGCTGCAATTAAAGTGCAGTTTATTTCATGTGTTTACATCCAGTCCTGAGTGAATAGTGATGCAACTGCTGCCTCCTATTTGACATGCTACACTGTTCATCAGGGGACGTAAACACCCTCAAATTAAACAGACAGACCCACATCTTAATCTTGGTTTCTTTTCACAGCCAAGGTGCCAAAGCATAGAGCAGTTTCAGCAAAACAAACATGAAAGCGTAACTGTCAGAATATTATTCTCTGCAGTTTTATTGGGGCAGATCATACAAATTAAATTAAACGTCTGCTTAACATTCAATATGATGATGTGATGATCAGATAATGTGTAGAGAGTTGAGCCCTCATCATATCACTCTGGCATTACAGGCCTGGAGGTATTTGTGCTAAAAGTTGGGGGGAACTGATTCATACCGAAGTTAATAAGACATTTAAACCATGCAGACATTTTGTTTCACTGCAAAGGACGACAGTAGAGAGCTGAGTAGGCTGCTTTTTCTACTTTGGGTCCTTGCGTGCGTGCGTGTGTGGGTGGGCTGCAATCCATTCCCACCTGCTACCTCATCACTGGTGCACCTGCGACCTGTCCACTAATCAGCTCCTGCAGTACACACACACACACACACACACACACACACACACACACACACACACAGCACGCCACTCTCCGCCAAATCGTTCAGATCGCCAGTGCTACAGCAAAACACGAGTTGTGTTTTCCCTTGTGTTTGTCTGAACCTAGTTTAATGCTGTCTTGGTCTGTGTCTCCAGGGTGTTTCAGTTTACCTGCCTCACCCTGCTCCTCCTCAGCTTGTGTTGTTGTGCTTTGACACCAGCCCTGCTCCATTTTCAACACTGGCTCAGCCCCCGAACACTCCACCAACCTAATCTCCAATACAGATGCTTTTTAACTGTCGCAAACCTCTACTCAGGTTCCTGCTTTTGGTCCCAACTTTAAATTCACAATTCGGGGGTAAATAAAATTATTTTTATATATATATATATATATATATATATAATTGTATTAGAACCAAAATCACCAATTAAGTGTGGCCATCACTTGTAGGTAGCTCCCCTGTTGGGTGCTGGGAAACAGAAATGTGTTTGGCTGGGCAGGCAAACTGGATAAAGTCATGGACACAAGATATTACACACACACACACACACACACACACACACACAGAGAGAGAGAGTCTGGATTTGTCAAGTCAAGAGCATTAGAAAGGCTACCCTGCATTCACTGCATATACATTTTGTACTGTAATTAGCCAGCACACATTGCAATCAATAGCATTAATGATGGCTGCATTCTATTTTAAGGTGAGCCAGTCCCAGCCGGCATTGATATTGTGCACTCTTATTCCCTGACAGGGTTTAACAGGGGAACCTAATGTAATAGAGCCAACCTTAATGTCATTATTTACACCTCTACTTTTCCTGCTATGATAATGAAATGTCTGCTGTGAAAAGGATCGATAACACAAAATCACATTATCCAATCGACTGTACAAGATGAACCATCTCAGATAAAT